TGCATTGTTATACCTTTCCTTGAAAAAAGTTTAAGTACCCTCTTGCAGTGAAATTCAAGCAGGCTTGTATTTCCTCACTTGCTTTTAGCTGATCAAAGGCATTTGGATGAGGTGAAATGTGATCTCAGAAGTTGTAGGAGCCACACACAGGTCTCTACTATCTCCCTCTTTCCTGAGGGCTAATAATGCTACAAAAACAAATAATCCTCTCTCTGGTACTCTGAAGCAAAGAGCAACAAATACTTCTCTGACCCTTCAAGCATAGGAACTATAAGTCAAAAAGAAATATTTGCTTCCAATCTACCTAGAAATATTAACACCATTACAAAACAAAACCAACACCAAGAACAATGACAATGACCAAGACAAAGCTGGTGATCCATGCTTTCTTAAAGCTAACTGAAGGGTCTAAAACAGTACCAAGTGGCTCACTACCTACCCACAGTGCTACTTAAGCAGCTGTCACTCATGAACTTACTTAGAATGACAGCAACTATGCAATATATTACTAAGTCATGTGTTTACCTACAGCTCAAGGAAAATAGGCTGAAAAGTAGAATGATAGCAGTATATTTCAGTTACTTTCATTATTTAGGAAAATACCATAATGCGGAATTCATGAAAGAAAAAACCACAGAAAAGGCAAGAATAAAAAAGAATAAGGAACTATTAGAAATATGAGGACATGTAAGATTCCAAAACTCTGAAAGTGTTTTTCATTTCTTATTTTACTATATAAAAAACTTTTAAGGTTGTCTCTAATAGTTCTCACAGAAAAACATACACAAATGCCTTCAAAATGTAACAAATCTCTTCATGATAAGTAAAAAATTATTTTATGACATTGTTAAGACCTATGAATAGATTAAATTTACCTCCAGAGATAAAATGGAACAGATTTAGAATGAAGTCCTCCTAGGAAAACTGAGGCTGAAAAAAACACATTAACGTTGGGGGAAAAACCCCACAAAGCCAAATCTCAAAAACAAACAAACAAACACCCAGAAATAGGTGAAATGATAAAGACATAAATCTATCTATGCTTTCTAAGAGTCATAACATCATAAAAACAGTCAACCAACCTGGCATGGTAGAGCATGTATTTGGCCCCAGTTACTCCGAGGTATAGCTGAGGCAGGAGGATGCAAGTTCAAGGCCAGTCTAGGCAACTTATGAAAACCCTATCTCAAAATTTAAAAGGGTGGGGGAGGCAGCTCAGTGGTAAAGCACCCCAGGTTCAATCCCCAGTACCAAAAAATAAAACTACCACCAAACCAATCAAACTGAAGAAAAATTGATGGCGGGTTAAGGCAAAAAGGCTTTTTAAAAATTTTTTAAATTTTTAAAAATTTTTTAGCTTTAGGTGGACACAATGTCTTTATTTCTATGTGATGCTGAAGATCGAACCCAGTGCTTCACGCATGCCAGGTGAGCACGCCACCACTTGAGCTATATCCCCAGCCCCCCAAAAGGCTTTTTAATGATATGAACAGCAAGTATGTCTAAAGGGCACCCGAGCTGGGTGCAGAAGTG